CTCACAAATGCAGAAGGCACCGCAGTCCCCATATCCCCAATCCAGACCCAGCGATCACGCTTCGCTCCATCCAGAAGGACGGTCTCCCCGGGCCCAATGTAAGCGTCATTCTGCCAGCTTGTGCGTCCACTTGTCCCAGACACGCGACCAGTCTTGCCCGGCACGGAGTTCGTCTGGATGGTATACGCCCCGCTGTACCAGATCCTGTTGAGGAGCTCGTCGCTGGAGTGGAAGTATCCCTGATAGGCTCTAAGATCGGACCACGTCGGCTGGAAGCTGATCTCCAGACTGATATTGCGAATCTCCAGCGAGACGGTGGACGATGAGTCGAATGGCGTGAGAAATAAGGTCAGATACCGGAAGCCGCCGCGTAGCTTCGGATCGGGCATGATGTAAGTTCCCGCTGCGTCCGAGCTGATGTTGTATGCGAGAGCGCCGTCTTGTCCGGTACCACCATTCGAGTTGTCTGACTTGCGACCAATGTAGTTTTTCGCCTCTGTGAAAGCGAGGCCGAGAGTGGCGTTGGTGAACTGGGAGAGCTTGTAGTCGATGGTCACGATGCCACCTACTTCGACGCCAAAGTCGAAGACCAGGCCGTCGATTTGGCTGGAAAGATTGAACGGTGCGGTAAAATTGGAGATTGCAGCTCCAGATGGTGAGGATAAGATGTACTTTGGTGTGACGTTACGAGAAGTGGGAGCATAGTTGTACTGGTCCCAAACTCCTGGGAACGAAGCAGAGCTTGGCCCATCGCAGGTCGTGTTTCGCCAGCATTCAGCAGAACAGTAAGTTGCAAGAAGAGTTGTTGCCGCAAGGGCTCGAATAGACGGTTGTGATATCAGCATGCTGGAACTGGGTTTGCCGTTGTGGCTGCAATGGTGCAGAAGGAAGTGGTGCGACCTGGTCAAGTTCCGATGACACGAGGCATATCGAGCGCCTTAGACTTTATGCCGAGGCGGCTGTGGGAGATCATGTTCACGAGACAAGAAGCCTTGGTGGAATATCTTGACTACCTCCTTTGCGCTTCGACAGCTGAGCTTCGGCTGTCGTTACATTTACTTGCGCGGAGTCAACCTCAATTGAGTCCATCTTCGGTGTAGATTGCCGCGGATGACGCCAATCACAGCAGTTACAACCCAGGCACCGATACAGAAGCGGGAATACCCACGCATACCCCGGTCTAGCACTTTACCAGATTGAGGACAGAACTTCATGTCGGTCGTGGGGTTCCCCAACTTCTGCCTGTGTACCCCGCAATGCCTCTCCATACGAATTTGTACGGATACATCAAAGGGATGTGGGTTTGTTTCCTTTGGGCCGATGATGCTGATTTGCGTTGAACGTCCATCGCGATCAAACATGGGTTTGCTAAGGTGGGATGTAACCTCCATGCTCCCGCCCGGATAGCTCCAGGTGGACGACCGGACTCTGCTTTTTCTTCTTTCGGGACGAAATGATCCGAAGATACGATGGATGTCTTCTGATAGTATGAATTCCTATTCAGCGAGAGAGGTTCTGAGACGCCCTCGGAGATGCTGAGATCTTGTCTTGTAGACTAAAGGCGGACCGATATCGATATCTGACTTTGGGATTTCAGACGGATCAAGCCTCATCGTTGTCCTTTATCGTCGAAGATCAACATTGGGGCACGAATCTGAGTCGCATCAGAAAGTTCAGGACAGATGATGCATCGTTGGTGCAGAACCTCGCTGTCTAGAGGCGGGATGTTACGGCTCGTGGACCGAGACAGAAGAGAGAGACGGTAACTTGATTAAGACCCATCTATCGGTTTTTCGTCGCCATTAAGTGAACTGCTCTAGATCCATGGTGGCTGAAGGTATTCCTCGACGACGAACCTAGGACCCCTTGCCTCTACCCCCAATCCCACCTGAGTACTCGAAATAGAGGTAGAGGCAAAGATGCTGCGAAAATGTCGTCCGAGGCTTCGTGGTCCGAGTCTCAACCGATGGATTCTAGACAAAAGGGTGCTCCGAGGACCCGAATCTCCAACGAACCGTCCTTCCAGGTATTGGTGAGGGCCTGAATGGCCAAGTTAGGAAGAACTTCCTATCGTAATGAACTGCCTTACTTGATAGTTAATGACTTGGCCTTGCTCTTACTAGTCATGAAAGTCGGTCGCATCGAACAAGCAGCTTGAAATCTTCTCACCTATTTTGGCGAAATCACCTCATGACAACTCCCTCAGCTTCAACATCCACCGACACAGTCACCCAGTAAGCCAGCTACAACTTACACAAGCCCAGCAACACAATATGGATCGTCTCAGACGACTGCTAGTTCATCATAACCACCGTCTCTTCCAACGTTTTCGAACGGAAACAACAAAGTCGTCCTCTGCAGACAACGCTTCACCGATCCAGTCCCTCCCAAACGAGATCCTGTACCAGATACTCAGTTCCCTCCCGCTACACGACGAATTCGCTCTCTCTCACACCTGCAAAGGCCTTCGTATCCTCACGCACAGAGACTGGACCCTTGCCCTTATCTCACTCCCTCGCAACCACAAACTCGCCTTCTGGACGGGCCTCGCTTACACCAAGCCGAACCACTGGGTATGCAGCCCCTGCTGCTGTCTTCACAGGATTTGTACGCAAGATATCCCCGGAGCCAAGAGCCACAACCCCTTTCCCTGCCAGCAAAACTCTCGCCACATTTTTAATCCGAAGAACTACAAACTCCGGCATGCGCACGTACAGCTCGCTCTTAAATTGGCTCGTATGAGTGACAGCGGGGGAATAGACCAGAACCAGCAACGACTCCTTGAGGACATTATGGCGCCATTCACATCGCGAGTAGACGTACCTGCAAACCTCATCTCCACCACGAGCCGGTACGCCTTCACACCCAAGATTATCGAGGGCAGGTTCCTAATTCACATGGAGCACGAGGTCCGCGATAACCTCGAGGCCGGTTTGCTTCGGATGACCTGCTCCAGGCGCGTCTGTCCGCATCTGATGATCTTACTGGAGCCCAACGGACAGGTTATGTTCGACGACGACGGTGTGAACATCAACCAGTGGTTGGGCTGGGGCCACCCCCGGTATGTCAGTAGATACATGGCGTCCTCGGATGTCATGGACGGCATCCGCGTTGCGGTGGACGGGCATGGGTACGAGCCGATTGGCCACTGCAACCGTTGCGCGATGGATTACACAATCATTGCGTCGCACGGTGTTGTGACACTTCACTCGTGGCATGATTTGGGGGCGTATGGGTCACCTGAAAGTAACGAGTGGATGGTGCATATTCAGACGGCGGAGAATGACTCTTCTAGGGGACCGACTGTATATCATAAGCTTGGTAGTGTGCAGCAGATGTACTTGGAAGGCTGATAGACACCTTGCATTATTCTGAGGTTGCCTAGCGAGATAGCTCAGCCTCTTTTGAAATGAGGTTAGTCCAGAATACTCAGGTAGCTGCTCTGGTAATAGTATTACAACTCATGTCCTTGACCCTCAAAGGAAAGCAGACAGCTTCTTGAATACAGTGCTATAGACTGAAATGCAGATCCTATCTATTATCACAACGTCGTTCGTGCGCCATGCGTCCAAGCAAGTAAGGGTGCCCAGCTGGCTACTGCCAATGCTGACAGCTCAAGGATTCCGGCGGCAGAGGTCTATGTCTACATATAAGCAAAGTCTACTCCCAAACGATTCTCTAAGTAAGCTCTCAAAGCCACGTCACAGCTTCTCCTGTCTCTTCTTCCGCTTCTCCATCCCAACAAAATACGCTTCCGCCTTGGCAAGAACCGTACCAAGCTCGTCGGTGATCTCCGCCTCGACCAAGAACTTCCTAGGCCCGTCCATCCGCTTCAAGACCGCCGTGCAAGCCACCGTCGACATGGTCGGCACCGGCTGTATGTACGTGATGTTCAAGTTCTGTGTGACCTGCGGCAGCATCGGCATGAACCCCAGCAACTTGTTGATGAAACCGATCGCACCCATGCACTCGTCGAATATGGCCGCGACAGCACCGCCGTGGCACCACTCCTTCTTGAGCGTGCTCAGCCCATGGCCGAGAGTCAGGAAGCAGCGGACCTTGGTCATGTACAATTCGTCGAGGGGCCGGCTATCAGGAGGGTTTCCGTCGGCGCCCGGTGGTGGCGAGGGCATGTGGAAGCAGCCGATGAAGAAGGGCACCGTGGCCGCGCTGAAGAGTGTGGAGCCCCAGAATTCAAAGATGCGATTATCTGGGTCGAATTCGCGGCTGACGAGGGGTCTGGCGATGATGCCTGGTTCCGAGAGCACTTTGGCGCACCACGGTATCCCTTGGAAGTGCGCGATCTGATCATCCCATGGTTCCGGCATGGCGAGGGAGTGAATGGTATGCTCAGACGAAGATCAAACTGAGCGAGTCAAATTTGGAGCTATTTCGTGATGCAATGGTGAAGATCACTTATCCTTCCGTAGCTACTACCCCGGAACATGATGTCTGGTAGGGTCAGGACAGTTCCTAAATAGGACAGCTCTCGCACCTAAAGAGAATCAGTAGAATTGACGGAGATTAAAGCAGGTGCAGCTGTCCGGAGTGTCGCGATAAGGTGAGTGGTAGTCTGATTAGTGAACTTCAAGAAAGTTCTCGAAGGCCCATCAAAAGGCTAGGTTCACAAAAACTTAGATAGATACTGCAGTCAATTTCTAGTTTCTGAATCGTCAGAAACTCAAAGGAAATATATGCCGGCAGACTCAATTTGTAGCATGTGGTGGCATGACCTTGGCATGAAGCTCAGTATCACTAATCAAGAACAGCATGTCAACAGGACCTCGAGCCGTGGCCGGAGTTTCTGATTGCCGTCACTGTAGATATACGAGCTTTCGACGTGGGTTATCCACTCAAAGTGTTATCTTATCTTAGATTGACACTACGTTTGCTGCTCTTGGATCCTCCGGAGTTGCGACATCTGGGACGCCAAGGTCGCCATCCGCCAGTCTTTAGATGTGAAAACTAATGGCGAAGCTGGCTTGTACAAGATTGCTTCCTCAACTTACACTATAGTTCTCGGCAGCCTGCAGGGTCTTAAATGCCTCAGGAAACCGAGATTTGGTGGTACACTCAAACGGAACCGGGCGTCTGGCATCCAAAGTCAGCGACAGCAACAAACTGGTAAGAGTACAGGGGTATCTCACACAACGACACCGTCATCGACACATCCATCAACATCTATAGGGACATTCAACCCATCGTATCCCACCTTCGGCTCAATCTTCATCGCCCAAAGCACCGTCGCGATAGTGATGAAGAGATCCTCATTCGCAATCTGGCGCCCGACGCACAACCGGCGGCCAAACCCAAACGTGACGTGGCCCTGTTCTTTCGTCTCCGCTGCCAGCGGCTTGAGCTGCCCAGTCTTGGGATCGAGGAACCGAGCTGGGTTGAAGTGATGGGCGTCCGGGCCGTACGTGTGCGGATCGCGGTTCATGGCCCAGACGTTGGGGATGAGCAACGAGCCTTTTGGTATAAAGCAGCCTTCATACCATATGTCCTGTGAGAAAGAGTCAGGTTACTGAGAGATTGTAGGCGCAAGGCTGTGACTTACCTCGGAGCTCTGATGTGGAAGACCTATTGGATCGACTGGTCGCCACCGAAGTGACTCCTTGACCTGGACAAGTTCAATCGTGAGCGATGTCGTTTCACGCGACAGAGAGGAGTCTCTGAAAATCCGACAACTCACCATGGCTTGAATGTAAGGTAGCTTTCCGTAGTGATCGGCAAAGTTCGGCATCGCCTCGCGTCCCACGACGCGGTCCAGCTCCTCCTGGGCGAGCTGCTGAACCTCGGGGTAGACGACCATAGCCAACATCCACCACTCGAGCACGCCCGTGATCGACTTTGCCCCGGCACTGGAGATATTTTGTCAGAAAATTGATCACATCAAAGAGGGTCGGTATACCTCGTAGACGGACTTACATGACGCTCGCCGCGAGCCAGTTGATTTCCGTGTCGGATAAGTTGCACCGGCTCTGGTCCTTGATGAAGCTTTTGACGAGACAGTTGCCGCCATTGACACCTCTCTGCAAATGTTTTCAGCACACAGAACTTCCAAAAAGACCATAGGGGTCACCCATGCAATACTCACAAGTCTGGCCTCCTCGAACCAACTTCCAAAGATAGCAGAGTCCGCCGCAAACGAATCCTCCACCCGCCTCTTCCAAGGCGCGAATCTAGACAGAAAACATCAGCATCCTCATCACCGCCGTAGTGACTCCACTGTCCAATCTGCCAAATAAACATACTTAGATGGTACATGTCTCAACCAAGGGAAGACCTGACTCAAATGCGCACCAGGCAGCGCAGCCTTGGTCAACCGCGCGACAAAGTCCTCAAGCCAAACCAGCTTCAAATCGCTCGCAGACGCGAGGGAAGGCGTGCCGTATACCAGGTTCATATTCGCCGAGGATATCGCGCGGTGCAGGTGCGACAGCCAGTCCCGCGGGTCCTTGAGCATGTCCGCCGCCAGGAGTGTAGCCTCCTTTTGCTGGACGAGGCGGATGTCTGGGAAGGAGATGCTGCGCAGCGCTGTGTGGGAGGCTTTGCGCATGCGCAGCCACCTAGAGCGTCGTAGTGAGCCTTTCTGTTCTGCTTCCTTTGTGGATGTGTGAATGTAGGGGGCCATACATTGCGTTCTGGCTCTGGAAAGGCACGAAGCAGGACCCCGTCATCATGTCTATGATGACGTTACCGGGCCGGTCTGCTGTGACGGCAGCGCGACGATCCAAGATGTCGAACGAGGTCTTGAGGTCGTTGAGGACGACTACATCGCTTCCGGCAGCGGTGAAGTGCATGATGGTGCCTGATTTGGGTCGTGTTAGTTGGTTAGCCCGTGGAGGGAACCGCGGGACGAGCATACCATACGTCTTCATCCAGCCGCCAAAAGTCAGCCACGGATCTTTGAGGACGTCGAGGGCGTTTCCGAGGAGGGGCAGCCCTCTCGGGCCTGGCGGAAGACGCCGTCTCGGGCTTCGAGCGTATGTAAAGACGAGAAGGAAGACCGAGACCACGGCGAGAGCCGTGATGGACCTGTAAGTCCACAAGACACGTAAGAGAGCATCGGCGAACTGCATTCTGGCGGTCATGAATTCTTTTCAGCGAGGTGAGCTATCACTGATGGCGAGCCATTGTTCCCCTCTTATGTAGCATAGGTGCTTTCTCTTGATAGACCTCATATACGGCCAACAAGCCAACATAGGGTCAGGCTCCGCCGGACTTGCCGGCTTTCTCAACATCACCGTGACCAACGCCCTAGCCCGGTAGCCGTTCCAACAGAGCAAACGGTCCAGCGTAGAAAGTGTTCAGCTTTCGTAGCCTCCAGAATGTCTCGCCACTTGCATCCAATAGAGTCCTTAGATTCAAGAGTCGAAACATCGGTCGACGATGCGCTGCAATACAGGCGGAACAATTGGCCTGTTGAAAGAACGAACCCCCCCCCCCCCACGCAGGGAGGCTCAAGGGCTAGATTCTCTGCTTTCCCAAAGCGATTCTTGCCCCCTTTCTCAGCTCGGGCTCATCATGGGCCGGAGATATGCGCCGGACTTGGGAGCTTCTGAACTGAAGAATTCAGGGTTTTCGATATAAGGCTACGGCAGAGGCGTTGCCAAAGGTACATTAGTACCTAGTTAGTCCCGGGTTTGTGAGTTGTTTGCTCCCTGCGCCTATGTGTCTCTTATTGCGTGTGAGACCTGGCTGGATCACTTAGGTCCCAGCCAGCCTGCTTTTCCCCGTTGCGAAAGGTACGTTGTGGCTTGGGTGCAGGGATGAAGCAACTCTCTCCCAGACCGGTTGAACCAACAGCGGAGCTAACGATAGCCTGATCCGGGACCCGTGGATCTGGCCAGGTTGTAGTTCTCTACCAGAAATCGACTCCAGCAAACACATCTAAAGCCATTGAACCAATGGCGTGGTACAATTCGGAGGGGCTGAAGATATGGAGGGCTAAATACTCAGGTGTGGGCAGCCTCAGTAATTGACTGTGTCCAATCCTGTTGCGTTCCGTGGTTCCCAACGCTTGTTGGTCGCTACCCGCGAGCTAGGTATGCGAATGTTTGTCAAACAACGCACTTCAAAGAAGCTAGCGTCTTCGTTGGACACCACTTTTTTGTGTTGGAACCTCCCTATTGGCAATGAGGGACTTGAGACATGGCCGCGAGGAGCTACTTCACTCGGAATTAGAGCCCTGGGTGCCCGGGCCGCCAAACCACGAGCCGCCAAACCACGAGCCGCCAAACCATGATCCGCCTGGTGCCTCCGGCTTCCGGATCGGCAGCGCCTCCACTTCCCAATCGGAGCGGAACCCAGCGCGGTCATGTCAAGCCCGGGCCGAAGGAGCCCTGCCCCATCAAGCTCTGCGGATCAAGGTCCGCCGCACTCCGGTGACGTGTGTATGTCGGCGGAAAAACTAATCAAATTCTCTGGTCCACGTCGGCGCGACGCCGTGTCGGCCTCAAAAGGGAAACGTATCCAAACCGTATCTTCAACGTAAGTTTCCTCTATTATGGAGGAAATACCATTGTCAGGCACAAACGGAACGTTGAAAAAGACTAAAAGAACCAAAACGTCACTCGCAAACCCAAAAGGCTACACCCAAGACTGTCGTTCCCGCTTTACCGAAGAACTCAAATTTCGCCCTACCTCACCCTCTCTCGGCACACTCAACCTTTTCATCGTCAAGAGAGGGTGTGGACATGTTACCAAGAAGGAAGTAAAGGCGAAAAACAAGGGAGGACTTAAGTAGAAAGCAAAAAAAAAAAAAAAAAAAAAAAAAAAACAGAACGAGAAAAGGAGAACGGCCAAGATGTCAGTTCACGTCGGGTCGTCCCCGAGTCTCAGACGGGGCGGCACTTGTCCAAACCTTTGCCCTCATCTCGGGACGTTGCGATGCTTTTGCTTCAAAGGATGAGGCGAAACTTCTGACGTTAGCCATTTTGCCAACTTTTGCGTTCTACTCGCAGACGCCGCGATACAAGTAAACTCGGGACGACAGCAGCCACGGCCCTCGGCACCGACCGAAAGAACAAAAAAGTGATGACTTCTCTACGGTGCGTAAGTCAAGTTCTGTGTTTCCCGACGGAGAAGACACGGACTTTTGACCTTGAGCGGCTCGCCGAGAAGGGGTACCTCAGGTAGATAAGTGGACTCGCGATTCAGTTGCAAGGTTCTGGTACCTGCATCATCACGAGCGAATATGATAAGGTAAGGTAAAGTAGGCATGAGAATCCGCGCAACCATAAGGTAAAGATCGATAGTAGAGGGCAAAAGACCAAGGGCAAACAACCCGAAACCATGTTGCGGAAAAGTGCGTAAAAAAAAAAAAACATGATCCCGTTGCTAGACGAACTCCGACATACAGAATCTTTCATCTGTTGAAACCTTGAATACGGTGATTTGGAGGGTGGAGTTGACCTTCTCATCGTTGCGCTTGCTCATTCAGTGGCACACTTGCGAAAACCGACGATAAATCAACTCGAAACCAACACGCTGAAAGCCAAAAGGGAGATGGGGAAAAACGGGTAAAACGGCCTCGCAGCAACGGACGGGAATAGGGAAGAACAAAAAAGCAAAAAAAAAAAAAAAGAAGAAAAAAGCCAAATTAAGCCTCAAGTCAGGTACAACTCTCAGAGTTCAAGTAAAAGAGTCATGAGAATAAACCTTCCGACGCAAGCCCAATCAAGACCACCTTGCGCGCGCGTATGTGTGTGTGTGTGTGTGTGTGTGTGTGTGTGTGTGTGTGTGTGTGTATGAGAAATCCCAATCGCCGAAAACAAAGAAAAGACCTCAAGATTAAGCTCCCCAAAGGCAGAAATAAACATCAATCAATCTCTCTTCTCGCCCGCCCCCCTTCCGAAACGTTAAAAAGAAATCTCCTAATTAATATACCTCCACTAATCCGTACCCTACCTTAGCTGCTAAGGCCCATTGCCCCCTCCCACGAGACCTCAAACACCCCCTTCCCCAGAACCCTCCTGGCACCACACGAAAAGTGCCATCCCAACCCATGACACATGCCCCCAATCCACAAACCACAGGTACCCAGATTCCAGCCTCGACTCGTGACATCACGAGCCCGGACCTTGAGCCTCAAGCCCTGTATTCGTAAATATAAGTCTGTCTGTTAAGGCTGTTCTACGGTACCGCAAGCCCCCTCTCTGTCGCAAGATCCCTTCCATCCGTCCCAACTCCGGCACTACAAGAAGAGAAGAATGGACAACGTGAAACACGTCTCAACTCTTCTTTACCCTATTTTCCTCCCCTCTCCCATGGGCCATACCCCCTCTCAGACCTGCCAAGTCGAACGCCAGTCTCCAACCCACACACACGTATCCCACTCAACGGCACGCGACGCTGGAGAGTCCAGCTTAGTCATGTACAAATCCCTCCCATCAGGCCTACTAAAAGACACCCCCAAAACAAGCAGACCAGGCACCCTAGACACCAACCCCAGCGCATAACACGGCCCCCCGGCCGAGACATGTGCCCCCCCCATCATCGCGACACGCAGATCAGACGCCGCAGCTCGGACCGCAGCTCGGACCGCAGCTCGGCACCGCAGCTTTCACTGTGCAGGTTCATCAACATCAGAGAGAAAGGACGTTTTGCGCAGTGTTGCCGGTATACCTCCTGCCACCCCGACTTTCACTAAGATGGGGTGACATCGTGACGTGTCATCTGTTAGTGGATCGCGGAACTCCTAGACAAGATATCACGACATGTCGAATCAGTAAGAACCAAAGAACCAAGCAAAAGTAATCCAAAAAAACTGTGTGCACTCTCTACTGGAATTGTGTCTTCCATTTCTTTCCAAGCCATGCTGCGTATCCTGTCAACGGAAAAACAACTCCCTCTAAATGTACAGAAAGGTCGGATCGTAAGATTTTGTGTCATGGTGATGAGGTGATGAGATGTGTGTGAGGGTTGTCGGGGAGAGGGGGACATTAGAACAATAATATAGAGGGGGAGGAGTTTGCCAGTGTTGTCGTTGATGATGTGTGAGTGTGTGGTATCGAAGCACGGGGAGCGCTGGTTTTCATCAAACAAAAGAAAAAACCATCCACGCCAACCTGCTCATCTAATAACCTCCTGCCAGTTCGTGTAGAATATAACAACCCCAAGAAATTAAAAACAGAAAAACACCAGAACACTTTTTGGCGACCCGGGTGAACCCAAAAGCATGGAGACTTGTCGTTGTATGTGATGTAAAAGGCCCGTGTTGTCCGTATCAGCGCGCGCGTGCATATCCCAATAATCCCTCGGTTGTTTGTCGTCCTTGTCGTCGAAAGGCATTCCGATTATGAGAGCTCCTGGATGCAGGTCTGAACCTGGGCATCACAGTCGGCCGTGGTGACCCCGTTCAACTTTCCACCGTTGAAAGCATTGAAACAGGCATTCCGTTGAACATCGCAAGCACGCTGCGCCGCATTGGCCTTGGAAACGAACGAGTTGCCATTGACGGAGAATGGTCGGCTGCTATCGCCAGAGTCCGAGACCGCCGGGGCCGCGATTCCGCCGATAGCGTTCGACGTCGCGCCTCCCTTGCCAGATCCAGAAGAAGTGTTACCGTTGCCGTTCTGTCCGGATCCATTGCTGTTGGCCTTGCCATTGTTGGAGGCACCTCCGCCCTGGGTGGGCGTTGGCGTCGCTGCCGCCGGGTCTACCGAAGGAGTCGCCGTCGCGTTCTCCGAATTACTGGCGGCGTCCCCGTCCTGGCCGGAGTTGTTAGCATTGGGAGCTCCCTGTGTGTTTCCGGTCTGGGGTTGTGCTGTGGCCTGTCCAGGGGGTGCGCTTCCAGGGAATTGAGGAAATTGGCCGGGGAATTGGCCTGGGAACTGTGTGTTTGGAAATCCTTGAGGGGGGTTCTGAGGTGTTGCTTGAGCATTACCTTGACCAGCGCCTCGTCCAGCACCGCCGCGACCGGCACCTCCTGCAGCACCGCCTGCAGCAGCGCCGGCGCCTTGTCTGCCTCCGGCTTGCTTACCTCCACGGGCAGCTCCGCCCTGGTTGTTGTCTTGTATCCGTTAGTACATCAACGAAACATTGAAGTATCACTGGTCGACTTACTCTGCTGGCCTCCGTTGGCAGCGTTGCCGCCGTTGGCAGCGTTGCCGCCGTTGTTGCCACCTCCGTTGTTGCCGCCGCCGCCGTTTCCACCAACGGTGAACTTGTTGCAGTCATCCTGGGCACCACGCTGGGCGACGGGCATCAGAACGGGCTGATGGTTGGAAGCACTAGACATGGTGCAGACGCGGTAGTTTCCGGCGGGGAGACCTCCAGTGACGGTGGCCTTCAGGTTACCATTGCCATCGCCGGCATCGTTGATACCCTTGAAGAAGACAAACTTGGAAGCATCCAGGGGAGTGTTGGGCGTCAAGGAGTTACCCATATCCTGAACAGTGACGTGAACGTGGCCGATAATGGTACCGCCGCCGCTAAGATCCTGGGGAGCCGAGTAGTAGGTAGACTGAGCGTCAGTGAAGGAACCGGCTTGCAGGTTGTTAACCTTGAGCTCGACATCAAAGTCCTGGTTGGCCTGGATGTTGCCGTTGTGAGGGGGATTGTTGATGACGGTAGACACCATCTTGGTCTGGGCGGGGATCTTGCCCATGGGGATACCGTTGCAGGAACCGCCAGTCTTCTGCTCACCATCGGTGAGGGTAGAACCGGAGCAAATGTTGATGAAGTTGGCATTGTCGCTGCAAGGCAGTAGGTTAGCGCGTTTCGGGGGTTGCCTGTGCCGTGTATGTGTCAATACTCACGTCTTCGAGTTGGCCTGTTGGGCGTTGGGCTGTCCGGCCTGCTGCGAACCCTTTTGCACCGCGTTCGTTTGCAAACACAGAGCTCCGTTACCAGCGTTGGCATTTCCACCCTGGTTTGCGTTTCCACCTTGGTTTCCGCCTTGTCCACCACGGTTACCACCACGTTGTTGACGCTTGGCGAGGGCGGCGCTCAAAGGCGAGGCATCGAGGAAGGCGACGGAGGCCTCGGCGACGACGGCCATGCCCGCGAGGGCAGTGATGAGCTTTTGAATCTGCATCTTGTCTCTTTCTTGTTGATCGTTGGGGATAAATCCGAGGGAGTTGTCGACCGAGTCGCTATCAATAAAATACTAGATTGTCGTTCGAAAGGGGTTGGTTCCAGACCGAGGAGCGAACAAGAGTAGAGTACGAAAGGAACGGTCACAGACACCTGAATACGTAGCACAAGCTGAAAAGAAATGAATGAATGAATGTGAAGACACACTCCCAGCGTGAGGCAACAGGATGAATGGAAATAAAAGTAAAGGGTGGAAGGCGAAAAGAATGATCGAGACTGAGCGCTGCTGGGGATTAAGAAGGGAGAGGCCGAGACAAATATGTGATCAGTGCCAAGCTTTCAAGTCTTATATGCACAGGGCTGTGGTTGCAGGCTGGTGCCGGTTCGACCAAGGGGTCGTATGAACGGAGACAGGCTCCATGACGGCTTGGGGGGGGAGGAATCGTCTCCACGAGTCCAAAACGCGGCGCAGGGGAGATGGGAGAGGAGGAGAAGAAGGAGGAGACAAGGGCTGACAGGAGCCCGTCTGCAGACTACCTAGTACCTAGCCATACACCATACTACTGAGTATACCTTACGGATAGTACACGGCTCAAACTGTTGGCCGGGGGTGTGAATACATGGATGCTGCTTAGCATCTGATCCCCGTGCGGGCAATTGGCAGGCCCGCAGTGGGTGACGAACCAGGGGGTGGGAAAAGGCGATGTGGGTCTGTCAGCTCTCTATGAGAAGGTGTCCGTCGAGGGAGGAGAGAGAGAGAGAGAGAGAGAGAGAGAGAGGGCGACAAAGAGACTGGGTAGGTAGCATCTGTCTGATGAGATGGTATGCGACAACTAGTTGACAAGGGCAGACGCCTCCAGACTCCGAGAAAGTAGGAGGAGGAAGAGTAGGGATGATGGATCGGGGGGTTGAGTGAAGAGACGGGAGAATAGAGATCTGAGCTTTGGCAGGGGTGGTTGAGTTTAGCTGCATGGATGGGACGGGAACGGCGACAAAGATGTTGGTCAGAGGCGTAGTGTATGAAGAGTCTCCGTAGTGTAAGGAGCGGAGTAGTGTAGACGGATAGAAAAAAGAGAGACAAGCTACAGATGAGCAGGGGATGTCGTTGTCCCAGACTGGGAGAGGGTGGGCACCCTTGACGGACAGTTCCCGACTTCTTCAGGATGGCAGGTAACGAAGTTGAGTCGAACAGGGCGGCTCGGGTAACGTCAGTGTGGTGTCTCTAGTCCCTGTGGCAGGTATCTACCACTCTACCACACAAGTATTGGTAGGGGTTCAAGATGCGAGGCAAAGAAAAAAGGTTGTTGGCACCAGATGTGGACGACAGTAAGAGACTACGCTACGCAGTAAGGTAAGGGTAAGGTATGGCAAGGGTAAGGATAAGGTAGTTGGAAGGAACCCCCCTCGTCCGGTGGTGGCTTGTGCCGTCGCGAGGTCTGGGAAGGTCTGATGCGGCTCCTGTCGTCGCAGAATGGGGTCATGGAGTCCCCACATGGCCCCGGCGCGGCTTAGCGAGCCAATGGCGGGGCCCGCTGTCCGGCACATCAGGCAAATGGCGTTTCGCCCGAGGCGTCGATGAAGCGAAACGAGACACTGGACGACATTTTCGTGTCCTTGCCGTCTCTTAAGCGCGGCACTTTACGGAGTGCCTCGTCGCCGTACTCGACCAACGTATTGTCACCGTCCAAGATACCGACCGCACGAAGGAGAGTTTGTGAGGCGCCTTCTCTCCACAACCACCCGCAAATGCTCTATTGCTGGCTATCTGAGCGAAGCCTCCTCCGTCCTAATTTCCCTGGAGCACTGGCAAAACTGGCAGTTCGCTCCTCGATGCCTGCACTGTCGCACGTCAAGTTGCACTCATCAGCTGGCAGGTTTATAACCGTTAGGCCAACGTCCGTCAGGACAAGCATCTATCCATCCGTATTTCCCACGGACCGTTGATACTTAGGCACGTAGTGGACCGATATGTGAGAGCCGCACCCTGTCGAGACAAATGGCACACCGAACCGCGGATGCGTATGCAATTGATTTTGGCTCTTGAGCCATGAGTCGTCATGGGTTTAGCTCCTCATGCTAAGCCTTTGAGGATCGGCCATGATTTGCCTCCGGACGCTGGCTTTCCTGAGAGGCCTGGCACGCCTGTATTAACGCCAAGACTAGCCACGCAGAGGCAAAGCTAGTGCTGTTTGCTGACAGCGCACACACATCATCATGTTCGTGATGGGGTTCTCTTGATTGACGTTACCGCTTGAAGATCCCCCGAGCCGTGCTGTGTTTCTTTTCCACGGTGCTTCTGCGGGTACCAGCGACACGACAACGGTCTCAAGCTTGGCCGGGAGAAAGCGGCAATGTGGATGATTGGCAACGGACCGTTTAGACGGGTGAGACATGCCGTGCTAGTGCGACCGCTGGCCAGCTACAACAGAGCATTAACATTGTCAGTCGACCATCGGTTCTGGCGGTTCTACCCATCGATCAGTTCGAGTCTGCAATTGCGCATGAGAATGGAAGCGCCCGTCTAATTCCGGTGAGCGAAATGCAACGCATCAACTCCACTGCATTTCGTTCCACTTCAAAGCTTGCCCTTATGGAATCCGTCCCGCAGATAAGGGTGGGATAGTGTATCGTGTGCCTCGTCTGCATCGCGAGCGAATGCCTCGTATCATGTATGTACTTGGCCAGAAGTGCACGGAGGCTTTTTGTCGGAAGGGCGGCGGAGTCCATCCAAAAACCTAGTTGACTTTTCTGCCGTTTTGCAGAATATGGAAGCAAACGAGAAGCACCTCGCATACGGAGAACCTAGGATATGTACGTTGGCGTTGCTGGTCGGAATGTGGAGTTGGCGAAGCGAGCGGAAAACCAAGGTCAGCAGCGGGCGCGCAGTAATGATGGCATCAAACATCCAATAAACTTAATCTGTTATTCGGCAAGTTCGGATGACGGCAAGGCCCCCTGGGATGACCAGTCACGGTACCGTCGATTGTCGGTTTGAGAAAAGAGGGCGAGCAGCAAAGGGGTTTCCAGGGTGAGTGGGCGAGGGAAAGGGGAAAAAGAAAAAAAACTTGAACTTGTCGGTGTGGTCCACCGTACCTTACTGCGGTTGGAGCTTCGGGGATGATCTTCCTCCCGTCAAACGTTGAGTGCCAAGGAAACCCATGAAGATGCCGAAGGAGCTGTCGAGCAATATTCGTACTTGATGGATGGGGTAATGCAAGAAAATGGAAGGTGCGCAAAGGAATCGAGAAAGACACTACTTACTACCTCCCTACCTACGGAACTGTGGGATTGGAAGGTGCGCCATCTCCACTGGTGCCTCACCTTCCATTCCAAGATCAAAACGGAGGCCCGTACCTACCTAGGTACGTAACTTGACTTATCTACATGTATCGTTCCGGACACTTCCAATTGCAACTGGAAGGGAAGCGTGGTGAAGTGAGAGGAGGGCACCTTCCACGTCCCAGCAGGAGTGCCAAGCGCCGTTTACACTCGGTACCTGCAGCGGCCCAAGACCCGTGGAGATCCACGACTCCACTTGGGTCGCCAAAACGGGAAAGGTTGATTATCTCATCCCCTCTTACCACGTTTAAGGTTGTCCTTAGCATCCCGCCCGCCAGAAACCCGCCCCACCACCGCAGCCCTGGAAGAATTGCAGGGGGAAGGGGTGTCCCTTGTCAAAGGTGTTGCTTCACCTCGACCCTCGAGTCTTTTCCCCCTCCCCCTTCTTCTCTCCCATGTCATTGTCCACCGAATCCTTGGATATCTGCCACCCCAACCGGCAGCGACGAGACCAACCAACCTCCCACCACCACCTTGCACCGAGTTCACCCCTTCCCCCCTTGCCACCTCGCTCGTTGGATAACCGGCCAGTCCTGCATCAACCATCCGAGCAAAAGGTTAATCTGATCTTCCTCATGGCCAACCCTAGTGCGCGAGATGCTTATCCATGAGATGACGGTTTCGATTTTCATCTCGTCTACTATTTTCTGCTGTCAACCCAAGTGCTTGAGTCGAGAACTTTCCTTTCTGGGCTGCCAATTGTCGGACATTTTGCAAACGACGCTGAGTTTAATGCTATTGATCGTCCACACCTAAAGTTGCCCTACAACGTTTTGCTCACTGCACTGACAGATCCGCCATTGTCACCGTTGGAAACATATGCTCGGTCTTGATCCCGCCATCCAAACTTCTACTTTTACTTACGGATCCCACTGATACCACATCGTGTGGATGACTGTGCCGGATCTTTTGATGGGTACGGACTGTCTTCTCGCCGATTGACACTCGAATGCGGCAGCCACGGCCCACGGCACCACATGACGATGCCTTCGCGGCCTCGCCTGCGCCTGGAAACGAACGGCACGGCTCTACGGCTTGATGCTTGAAGCTGCATCGCAAAAGATCACCTGGCGAAACCTCGAATTTCCATAGACGCACCCGAATGACCGGCACCACGGCCGACGCCTCCCCCATATTCGTCTCATCCCTTCCGAGATCCCGTAAACGAGCAGATTGTTTCCCCCTGAGATGCCATCCAATTCCAACATCAATTAAAGGGCTTGTCATCAATCTTCCCTCATCTGGATCCGAGCCACCGGGGTTGCTTGCGGTGGACTCGTGGAGTGAGAGTGTTAGTGTGTGCAGCGCCCCTGTCGCGAACCTCCACTCGCGCCAAGGAGGCGCACCATCCTGCGACACGAGGCTGAGTTTGAAGCCTGTGCCAAAAGTCCAATGGTGAAACAGGTTCACCTCGACTTCCGTCCATTTGTCACTTGAGCCAACGGCGCAACCTCGTCTTCATCTTCAACTCGCAGGCATCCTCCTCGGATCCGGCATGCAGACCTGCCTTTCATCCCAGCTCGGGAAGACGAGTTGAAACCCGTCGACTGTCACAGAGGCAAACGCCTTGCGCTATCTATCGTCGCTCATTGCCTGCACTACGGTAACCACGCTCGCCCACGGCCCCAGTCACCCAGCTCGGTTGAACCGTCATCGCAAACTTGAGATGCAGAACCCGTGCCAATCCCGTTGTGTCCACTGACATGCCCACAGGATGCGCTTCCTCCGGCATCCAATCTCCTTGGATGTATTGCTCGCCGGGCTGCTCTCGGACCCCCGGCAAGGGCTGTCATCGAACTTCACTTGTCAGACGTCACCTATCATCCCAATTGCTGTCCTTTGCCGTCACGGCTAGACCTCCAACCCGTTCTTAGCCTGATTCCAAATTCTCCACCGCGAGAAGGGAAATGCGTTCAAGTCACGCCACTTTCTCGTTGCCAGGTAATGTTTGCCGACTACGCCTCTGGGAAACAGCTCTTCCATGTGAATCAAACTGGGCCGCCTCAGCCATTGCAGGCACACTCTTTGCTGACGAAGGCCCGGCCAAGAATGTGTCGCGACCAGTGTGATCAACATTATTCCGAGTCTCTTACCCAAGGCAACTTGACAAGTCTGTGAGCTGCCGCATGGCAGCTGTCACGATCTTTAGCACTACTACGGCAGATGAGCCCAAGGTGAGCCTCGTCTCGTCATTGATCATGTCATTACACTAGCTTGGCATCCAGAGATGTTTGCGACTAGGCTCTAAGTCACGAAATCAAATACACACAGAGGACCCCGGCAGGGCCAAGCTTTCACTGCATCAAAACACATTTTGCTGTGTGATAAACGAGGGTCTTGTACAGAAAGTCGCGCGCGGAGCAAACAGCGCAACATGCTTGGCGTCTCATCTCATAATCTTACAGGTCTTCCATGACAGGTTCGGCCGTCTTCGCCAGGTCTTGGTATGCCGCGGCGATGAGGTCCAGCCAAGCAGCCATTCTCACACCCGCGCGGGCGACCTGAAGCTCAATCACAGGTGCCGCCTTTTGGAAGTACTCGCCGCTAAGTTCTTGGCCGACAATAGCTCGCGGCCCCTCTGGGAATACTAATACAAGAGTCAGTTTTGACGTCGCCCTTCCGGTTTGTGGGGGGTCGCCGATGGCTCGGGATTCAACATACCATGGGTGCACACGAAAGCGTTTCCCTCTCTCGCCCACTCTAGGCCGGTAGCGTTGACGTTGTTGAAGTCCAGACTCTTCAGCCACTCTGCCTTTTGCGCAGCAAACTTTCCAGTCTTGACCTCGTCAGCAAGCTCATCCGCCCATTTCTTCGCGTTGTCGTAGGGCCTCCGACGAGAGCCTCCTATCAGCTTTT